TCAGATGAGAAAAATGTGACATCAGATTGGGAGGGACTTCCTGCCGTCGGAGAGCAGAGCAGGCAGATGTCCTGATTCCTGAGTAAGAGCCCTCCCACTCCCTGAGGTTCTCTCCCAGGCTGAGTGCTCAGGATGGGATAAGGACCACCAGGCTGCACCCTTCCTCTGCCACACGGAGACTGCTGTCGAGCTAGAGGACTGAGTTACTCTCATTCTGCACCAACCCAGAGTCCAGGAGACCCAACGTTACAAAGGTAAGTGTGGGAGAAGAACAATAATTCCACAGCCCAGCAAAGAGCCTTGGAGGCCTGGCGTATCACCTTTGGGAAAGCCTTGATGGCCAGAGTCCATGAAAGTGGAATCTGACTCATAGCTGAACCAATCTCTTAGAACAGGGCGCTCAGGCGGCCAGGAATGGCAAGGAGAAGCAGCAGTTGGCTGGTATTAATCCAAAGGGATTTGCCTTCCTCATTATTGGCATCTTAGCAGCTTCTCTTATCAAAAGGTGTGTCTGCCAAGCAATTCTCCTGGACCATGTCACCATCCCTGTGTGTCATGGGCACCCCCGTCCTACGTTGAAATCCCCATTTCACTTTCAAAGGGGCCAGTCCCACAGATGGTTGGAAAAGCCCCCGGGGCAGCTCTAGAGCCTGCATTTCAAAGATCTTCAAGGGGTGCTTTGTTTCTTTCTTTAAAATCTGGAAACCTGTTGAGATAGGGAAAATCACAGGACTCAGAAACTCCCTTCAACAAACACTCCCAGCTTTCTTTTCAAATTTTTGTTACAATGCTCTTTCTAACTCTATAACACCCTCCAAAAGGTCAGGCCAAAGACACTTAAGAAATATTTTCTGATGGTGGTGATATCATCATGAACTATTGTTAGCTTAAGTAAACATGTTTGTGGGTAATCTCTTCCATATTAGTCAGTCATTGAACAAATGTTTATGGAGAGCCTCCTATATGCCCCACACTGAGCTTCGCCTGGGAAAACAAAGGAGAATGAAGACGCAGCTTTACTTTAACAACTTTAATTCATTTAATTTCCCATCTTCATAATTCACATATTCTAGAGGGGAACAAGAAAGACTCATGAATAGGTGCATTTCATAAATTGCTAGTTATATGTGTAGTAAAAACCAAGATGGAGAGTAACAGAAGGAAACCTGGAGCATTTTTAAACATCACCAAAGCAGAAAATGCGTAGTATATGCTATAGTTTTTACAATATCATTTGGTGTATTTTTCTGTTTTGTTGTTGATATTAGCTGTGGGTAAGTTACCACAGGGAGGCATTGAATTTGGGTTGATGAATCCAGCACCATTTGGTCTTCTAATCTACCAGGTGACTGATAACCAGTAATCATCTGTTTAATTAAATTTTCTGCTTCGGGAATCAGGAGTTATCAGAGGAGATTAAGATGATGCTACCAGGAAAGCTGTTCCCTAACTGTTTTCACTAAGCGTAAGCCATGGATATGACAGGGACAAGGCGTGATGCTGGCAATGGCGAGAAGGAATCTAGGTCAAAATTGGGTTTTTATAAGCAGAAGGAGCGATAGCCCATTCCGGACTCCGCAGTTTAAGGGATGTTGACAACCAGGGGCGTGGCCGTCCTTAGCTGACTGGATGCACACTTGGTTCATCACATCTAGGATGCAGCAGTCAGGACGCTAAGAGCCCTGTCTGGCTCATTCTCAGCTATCATCTGGGGCTTGCTCATGACTGGACACACTATAAGCCTTCACAATAAATACGTGCGGGGTGCAGTCAATGAAAATGTCTGCAGCAACAGTGACCCGCGTGCTTCCCTTCCGCCCCTCCACGGAGCCTATGTCCCCCTGGGCTGCACTGTCAATTTCCTTCCCTCCCAGCATGCCCTCAGAGAGGACTCTCCTCCCGACACTCAGTCCGCAGTGTGGGTCACAATGACTGGGCTCCTCTCCTCTCCTCTCCCTGAAGAAGATGGTGATCTGTCGCTTGTTAAAGAAATGTCAAGAATTCAGAGGCTGGAGAGTAGGCTGGTGTACGGGCTGGGGTAGGAGTTGAGTGGCCCCTTCCTGCACCCCAGGCCTGGATTTTGTAAACTGACAGTGCGCAGAAGACCCGGGGGAGTGGCTCTTCCCTTCTTGTCACCTGACAAATGAGGAGACTGAGGCCCAGAGAGGGAAAACAACTTCCAACTTGCCAGGCAGGGAGAAACCAGGCGAGATACCACCTTGGTCTGAATAAGCAGAAAAAACACATAAAGCCTGGAGTGACGGCCCTTCCCACACCCTAATTCTGGCTGCTTAACCTTGACCAAGCTGCTAAACTCTCTAGGCCTTAGTTTTCTCATCTGGGCAGCAGAAAATAGTTTTCTCGCCTCTTCTTGGTGATTTTAGTAGATGGAGCAATTTGTGTGATATGCTCAGAGCAGCCTCTGATATTCAACAAAGGGCAGTCACTATTATTACCGCTGGCAGTGTTTTTTATCACAGCCACAGACCCCAATCCTCCAGACATTTAGGCTCGAATCTGGGCCTGCCTCCCTCAGGCCAGAGTAATCTCTCCCTCTGTAAAGCCTTTGAAATACCAGCATCTTGAACTGTAACGCCTGGAAGAACAGTTGTCAGAGAAGAGCTTGACCAGACTGGGACGGTGGAGGGAAGCCGGCCTAGGAGATGGTCCCGGCTTTCACATCTCCTTAGGTTCATGATTTTCAAACTGTGTACCTAGAGCCCCGAGGTCAGGGTGGGGAGGAGGGAAGCCCAGTGCACAGACTCCTGGCCACGTGCTCTGCTTCACAAAGCATCTCTTCTTCTAACCAGTTTGTATATTTGGGCTCCAAGTGAGAACGTATTCAGAGACACAGTCCCACAAAGTCTGAAAAACCTAACATGTTCTATGATCTTTATAACCATTTTCTGCTTTAAAAAATCAACAAACTATAATTTTCTGAATTATTACTTAAGCATTCATTTGTTTATCTTCCCACCCTATTCCCCCTATCCCCCAAACAACTGGTTTAGTGGCATGGGAAAAAAAAACAAAAGCAAAAAACAGAACATACATCTCCTGACTCATAGTGTAGTGTTCATTTCAATATATAAGCATAGCCTCCAATATATCCCTACAGATTTCAGATGGGAACAAAGAGAAGGAAGACACAATTCCTTTCATCCCACTACTAAATTGTCAGGGCCTTGTCAGTTTTCACCTTTTTTTCTACTCTGCATCTGAAAGGGGATTAAAAGTCTCTACTCTAGGAAATGGGACAGGCCAGGAGGTGGTCAGACACTTAGGGAGCTGGTCACATGTGCCCCATCATCTTCAATGCAGAATGGCTCACAAAACTTTTATATCCAAGGCCTCCTTGCCATTCAGTGCTGAGCTGCTTACAGGCACCAGAAGCTCAAAAGGCTGTAAGGCTAAGCAGGTGACTTCAATGTCAAGAGCCTGAGAGCTAAAGGATTGGGACAAAACTGGAGAATGAAAGCCTTTTGGTCCCTGTTTGAAGGCAGAGCAGATATGGATGTGAAAGGGCCTGTTGAGGCTCCAACACGCCCTGCTTCCCTAGGTTTGCTTTCTTGTTTCTCAATCATGGTCCAATGCTCAGACCACCAGATGTTAGGCTGTAGCCAGTGGACTACTTTTCTTGTTAAATTTATTTTTGAAAGAAAATTTTTTCTCCTGGGTAGAGATGAGTGGTCTCCAAAGGCTTTCATTTCCTTTCTGAGTCAGGTTTAGCCCCATGAGGCTTGGCTTTCGATTTCTACAGCCTTGCTGCTGCCTGAGCTCTCAGAGGTCCCCCGGTGATGCCCCCTGTATTTCAAGAGCCCCCTGAAATAAGCTGAGCGACTACAGATAAGTTTTTGGTACTTTCCAAAATTAAACTATTTCCCTTGGTAAATTTCCACCAAATGAGCTCATTAATCTGAAAACAGGATGTGGCACATGAAGAGAGTGAGATCAGGTTGCCTGCTTACTTACACTGGTTTGGGGTGGAGAGGAAGGGGTGGGTGGGACAGAAGTGAGACCAGAGACTGGCTTTCATAGGCCCCAAATCCTTCATAGAGTGGACTGAGAATCAATGAGTTTTTAAATCAGACTCAAAACTCTGAGTCCTTTTCTTCCCCTTAAAATGGAAAATCCACACAGAGACCACGGCTGGCCAACCTCCCACGGACTGCCCGTCTTGGAGGCCCCGTTAGACCTCCTGTTTGTCCAGAACAGCTGTTTCCCCTCCAGAGAGGACCCGGAGGCCCTCCTGTCACCAGAGGGAGACTGCCCTGCAAGCACCAGCTCCTGCGTCAGAAGGTGGCCACAAATGAAAAAAACGAAACAAAAAAACCATCAGAGAACTAAAACAGTTCCCAACTCCGGCTGAGTGTCCAGACAAAAAAAAAGGGGGGGGGATTCTAATACCTAAAGAGAATTTAATAGGTGCCTCTGAGTAACTAAAAACTAAACCAACGAAGTAGGCAGCTCACTCCTCAACTGACAGTCCTGCAGACGTTCGAGGTCTGATGGAGAAGCCTTTGTCAAATTCCCAAAAATGAAGGTTGTTTGTATCTCGTAACAAAAATTCTATCTCGACACTCATTCCGTAAGTATTTTGACTGATAAACACAAATTCATAGGGAATAAGTGCCTGCATGTGTTCAGACGAAAACAGGTATAGTTCCTTGAGGCATCCAGTTTTGTTAACGCACCCTGCCTATCCACCACTTGGTACCAGCCTTTGCTTATTGCTCCAACTCAGAAAGCGTGGACGAGCCTGGCACCGCGCCGGGCTCTTTGCAGGAATCCAGGAGGGCAGGGCTCAGATCCGCGCCTGCTCAACCCACCGCCACGCGGGGTTTCAAGCCGGCAGGAGCCGGGGGTGGAGCGAACCTCAGTTTCCCCAAGGGGAGGGGCGCTTGCCCCGCCCCCGGGGTGGCCTCGGGAGCCGGCTCTGGCTGCGGAGACCCGCCCCCGCTCGCCCGGCTTCCGCTGCCCAGCCACGTCCTCCGAGCCCCACCGGAAGCTCGCGCCGGCCGCGGGGAGGCGGTGGCTGCGGCGGAGGCGCCGAGGTTGGTTGCACTGCACCCCGCCCCCACCCTCCACCCCCGCCCCCGCCCCACCCCCACACCGCCCTGGGACTGCAGGCGGTGCCCCGCCCCCGCCCCGGCCGCGCTCCCTGCCCTGGGAGTCCCAGGTGCTGCTCGCTCGGGCGGAGCCTCCCCAGTGTGGGGCTTCCCACGCGCGGCCCGGGCCCGGGAGTCGCGGCTGCAGAGGCCTGCCGGGACTCACTGCCCCAGCCCTTCTTGCGGGCGGCCGGGGCACCGCTGGGGTTAGCTCGTCCTGGAATAGTCGCGGGCGCTGCTCTTCTGCTTACTCAACGGAACGGGAGAGGTGGCCGTGGCGAGAGGACAGTCACCTGCCGAAGGAGGGGCGGGGTACAGAGCTGGGGGCCATAGACAACCCGGGTTGCGGGACGCTATAGAATCACAAAGGCGGGCGGCCTATGGAGACTCCAAGGGAAAATGGGATTTGGTCTAGGTGGGCCCCGAAAAACAAGTGGAAGACTAGGGAGATGGGGCTGCGCGGCTCACGGAGGCTCTGCGCGTGCGGATCGGGCGGGCGAAGCCACGGAGATGAATCCGCGGGCCTTCAGAGAGGGATGGAATTCTAAAGGAGGGGCCCGGAGTCGTGTCGGGTGCTGGCCAGAGGGCTGGTTGGATGAAAACTGGGGCGGGCCCAGGACGGTCGGCGACTTGGGACACTGAGAACCTTGCAGGATGGTTCCAGGGAGGTGTGAGTGAGGCAGCGGAGCGCCTGTGCAGGCAGTCTTTTCTAGAAGTTCTGTTCAAGGGAGGAGAGAGTAAGTCGACAGAGGAACTAGGATGAGGGTGAAGAACATGTTCAAGCCCGATGTGTGGTTAGAGCGCAGGCTCTGGGTTCAGGAGTCCCTTCCCACCAGCTGTGAGACCTTGGGCAAGTCACTTAACCTCTGAGCCTACATCTGGAAAATGGAGGCGATGACAATACCTGCCTCATAGTGGCCGGTCCTGTGAAGATTGCAGGAGATGGTGCCTGTGAAAGTGCTTCACACAGCACTAGAAAGTAGTACTTACTAGGTTTATTATTAGAACAGCTGGGGCCTATTTTGATGCTGATAGAGAAGGAAGCGTTGAAGACAGAGGAGAGAGAGGGGACTAGACAGAAAGGGACCCAGAACTTGGATAGGAAGAGACATCTTGGGTGCCTGTCTGTCGAACCGAGAGAAAGAGGGAACAGTTGGGAATGCAGGGACGTTTGCAGGTTTGGCTCAGGAGGTCAAGGGAGTGCCTTGGTCCTGACAGCCTTGTCTGAGGTAGGCCTCAGGGTCATGTGCCGAGAGGGCCAGGCCAGGGCTGGCCCCAGAAGGGTGGAGGCCTGGTTTACGCTGCAGTGCTGGGGTGCCAGGCCCTTTTTGCCAGCAGCCTGGGTGGCCCCAGCTTGGCTCCAGGAAAGGTGGGCAGGTGAATTTACCTCGGGTCAGAGGACAACATCTGACCTGTCTTGCCCACTTGGGAGGCTCAGATAAAGCTGATGGATGTGAAAACACCACATATAAGCATCGTTTACCATGTTCGTCCTTTCCCCTGATCCTGAGGAGCTGGGAGGCCTGTGGCCATCATTGGAATAAATACCAAAGCCTTTTTGAGCACCTCAGTTGGGCTGTGCATTGTGCCACACTTTCACCTACGATCTCATTTAGTCACAACAGTCAGTTGAAGTCAGTATTATTATTATTCCCCATTTCACAGATGCGGAAACTGAGGTTCTGAAGTTAAAGACCTTGCCCCAGGACACACAGCTAGTAAAAGGTATTCTTAAGCTCTAAGCCCAGATTTGTCAGACATCAAAGCCCATGATCCGAAACCATCACAAGTTTGCAAAACCCTTACTAGCAGCCCAGCAGAATAGAAAGATGTGGAAGAATCATCTTTTCCATTTGATAGGTGAAAAACAGAGGTTGGATGCTCTGGCCATCTCTCATGTGGGTGAAGGAACACAGAGTATGGGGCCCCGCAGACCTGGTGTGAATTCTGCTCACCGCCAGGGGCTCTGTGACTTTGGACCAGGCATCTTGCTTCTCTGTGCCTGTAATGTGGCCACAGAATTCCCAGGAGGTTGCTTTAAGGAACAGAAAGGAAAGTGTTGCCCTGCCCACAGTACATGCTCCAGGAGCCACAGTTCCCACACAACAGTGGATCTGCGTCCCGCTTGGCCCGTGAGACCACCAACTCCCTGTGGCCTTGTGTTTATTTGGAGCTTTACTCTCCTCAGGGCCAGGAAGTGGTAGCGTCCGACTTGGGTATGTGGTCACCTATGACTTCCTGAGCGGGGCCTTGAGGAGCGCCCTGAGTAGTGCACGGTTCTAAGGCCTTGGACTTGGGGAGGGGGGGGGTTGGGCCCTGTGTTGTCATGGTGACAGATGAGGAATGCCACAGGCAGGGCCGTGAGAAACTTCCTGCTACATCTGGTTGCGCTGGCCATAGGGTCTCAGAATCTTAGAGCCCAGAGGCTCCTCGGGGACCATCTGTTGCAACTCCCTTTTTTTACAGATGGGGTAACTGACTCCCGCTATGAGGAAGTGGCTCTTACCTAAGACCCTGGACAGGGCAGAGCTAACATACCTGGAGCTTGCCTTTTTGGACCTGACACCAGGACCTGGGGACTTCCACCAGGACAGTGAGCACCCCCACCCAGAATTCCAGGCTTCCCAGAGGTCCCAGGGAACAAGGACAAGTCGCCAGCTGTGGCGGTCTCTGCCGAGGTTCCTTGGGGCGGGAGGAGGCTGGAGGAAGCCAGTGGCAGCCTGAGGTTCTCTCACAGGGGAACTCTGCCTGTGGTTCCTGAAAAAGTCCGTGACATGGTTGTTTTTTCTCTCTGACTCGCTCTCTTGCTCTCTGTCACTCTAAAGCATGACTGGACACTCCTAGAACCTTCAGTCAGCATCCAGGGGATTTTTTTTTCACCACAAAGGGTAATTCCTGCTCCATCTCTGCTGTGACTCAGCTGTGACATCGAACCGCACAAGCCAATGAGAAGATAAAGTCATCAGACTCCTGCTCACCAGAGAGGGTGGCCCACGCCAGAACTCACCTCTTCTCTCAGCACTGACTCCACGACGCTGGTCCCCTCCCCCGAGGAGCTTAGTCGGGCCCCTAGCCAGGCTGGGACCCCAGGATGGCCTCTGGCTCAGCCAGCAGCCCTCGCCCAGCCCCCGATGAGAACGAGTTTCCCTTTGGGTGCCCCGCCACCGGCTGCCAGGACCCATCAGAGCCCAGAGCCCTCTGCTGCGCTGCCTGTCTCTCTGAGAACCTGAGGTGAGAGGCCCGAGGAGCAGAGAGTGGGTGGGAGGAAGGTGCCAGGGAGGGACCCGTGATGGGAGACAAGGGTGAGAGGAACCTTACAGTGCTCTGCCACGTACTTACCTTACACTCTGGGCGGGTGACTTCATCTCTCTGGGCCTCAGTCTCTACACCCTTCCCTTGCAGTCCCTGGCACTGCCCCTTCTGACTATGGGCAGGAGAAGCAGCCACAGGCAGGTGTCAGCTGCCACAGCAGAAGGTGGGGAAGGGAGCCCCGGCTGGGCCTGGAGCTCTTTACTCACTGTGAGGCCCAGTGCAAACTGCTTCACGTCTCGGAGCCTCATCTTTCTTCTCTGTAAAAGGCCTGTAAAGTTGTTTTCTGCCCCCAGGATTAAGAGGGACAATGAGTGATTCCAGAAAGTTTTGGTAATGGGGAATATACACTTTCTTAGTAAATGATGAACTACTGTACAAATATATCTCCTTCCACAATATTTCCCATCCCTTGTACTGTTCGCTGAGAACACTTTTGAAGGGAACAAAGATACCTATATTTATATATATATGTAGTTATAGGTATATATAGTATGGATATGTATCTTTATATACATATGTATATATAGACGATGTATTTATATCTCATTGAATATGTATATATTATGAATGAATGTATACTTATGTAAATACACATTTTACATGTGTATAAAATACCAGAAACTGGAGGTGTGGCATCCACACAATTGTCAGCACCCCACCGTAAGCACTACTTTGAACCTCCTATGTGCCTCTTTCCTTGGGTCTTCAAAAGAGCCTTGGAAAGGTGGATACTACTATCATCCCATTTTACAGATGAAGACAGCGAGGCCTAATGGAGAGATTAGGTCAGCTTCCTGGCAAAAGTGCTCTTCAGCTGCCCCCAGCTCAACCTTTGTTTGGGGCTTTACAGCTTAAGAAGGTGGGAAAACTGAGTCAGGCCAGTTTGAAAAGTTCAGATGCTTTGATGCAGGGGTGGGGAGAGGTTGTGGCCAAGGAGAGGCCAGGCTGGGGGGCAGGGTGATCAAAGCTTGAGTTCATCTCAGGCATTTGCACTGGGTCTCTTGGCTTCTCTCCCCATCCTTCCAAACCCTGGCAGAGGTGGGGAGGGAGCTGACTGGATGTTGAAGGGACCCAGGCCTGAGGTGTGAAGAGCTCAGGCCAGCTCTGCTGCCGACTCTGTCTGCCCTTGGCTGTCCATGTGTCCTCCGAGGCCTCGCGTTCTGGGGCTGACCAGTGGCTCTGACTGTGGGTCAGGATCCTTCGGGAGGCTTTGTAAAAGCCCAGAGGCCCATGTGTCACCTGGTCGGAGTCTGGCCCCGCTCCTGGTGAAGAACCTCAGGCCAGGTGTTCTCTGAGGCCCCTTCTTATTCTAATCAGCCATGGCCATGTGTAACTCCTACACTGAAGAGTCCAAAACCAAAGAGTGTGAAGCTGAGAAGAGATATAGCCACACACGCACAATCCCTTACCTGAACCCCTGGCTCAGGTGTATTTTGAAATTCAGGATTTTTTGAGATTTCAGAAAAGCAAATCAATGCATTACTGCATAATTCTTCCAGTGGGGATTGGGGCAGCACCTTATAATCAAGCCTATTAATATATCTGATGGAACAGATATTCCCACTAAATGGGATAATAGCCTCCAGTCGCTTTGGGTCAGGTTGGCTGCCAAAGCAGCTCACTGCAAACAGCGGGAAGACACTGGTGCCCAGCGCTTTTGAGGTTTGGGAATGGTGGGTCTGGGATTGCGGCCCGCATGCTCACTGACGTCAGGCCCCACGCTGGGCGAGGCCTGGGCTTTTGGAGCTTTTGAAACAGAGGTGAGTGCCTGGGAGTCCTGAATGCCTCACTCAGCCGCATGTGTTCATGTGTCTTTAGGAACAGCGAGGATCGGATCTGTCCCAAATGCAGAGGAGACGAACCCCAGTCGGTAAGCCCAGGAAGCCTTATATCTCAGGAGAAGGTACGTTGGCACGCCCAGGATAGGGCGTCTGTCCATTTTCTACATGTGTCAAAGTCGAGGCCAAGTAGACAGCTGCTCGCGTAGTCCCTGGCAGGCACCTCCCTCTTTGTCCAGAGTCTGGACTGACTTTGGTTGGTAAACAGTGAGGAGACTGACAGTGAATTGGTGGAGCAGCTTGCCCAGAGTCACCTGGTTGATCTGTGACGGATTCAGGGCAAGAACAACAGTCCTGGCCGGGTGCCTGCAAACTACTGCCTGCAGGCCAGATCCCGCTTGCGCCATTTGTATACAGCCCGCCAGCTAAGAATGGTTTTTATATTTTAAATAGTTAAGAAAAAAAAATCAAAAGAAGAATGATATTTTGTGACATATGAAAAGCATCTGAAACTCGAGCTTCCGTGTCCATAAATAAAGTTTTATTGGCACATACCTACATCCACTTACGTATGAATTGTGTGTGGCTGCTTTCACCCTGTGGCAGCAAAGATGACTAGTTGTAAAAGAGGTTTTAAAACCCAAAATATTTACCCGCTGGCCCTTTACAGAAAAAAATTTGCCAACTCTTGATCTTCCTGCCCCTGATGGCCCCTCCAGCGAGGAGAGGCCACTCCCAGCTCCCCTCTGAGGGAGAGCCCTGCTGAGCTCCTAGGAGTGAGAGACGGATTTAGAAGTGGGAGGGGCCAAAGAGACATCCTCAGGACCCCCGGTCTTGAACCCCATCCCTTCTGGGTTGGAAGGACCCTCACAGGTCATCTGTCCAGCCCAGAGGTTCCCACATGCTGACCAGAGCTGGTCCATTCCTAAAAATAAGGAAACTTTAGTGAAACTTTTAATAAAACTAAATTCTTTCCACTTATAGAATCAACCTCTACCCGGAGATTATGCTCTTCCTATACATGTCTTTGTGTAAATGAAATGATAGTGATGGGAAATGATAGAATTCTTGGCAAAGCCTTTTTACTTGGTAAAATAAAAAGATGATCATCTTTATGTTAATCTCCGGATTTAAAAAAAACACACAAAAACAAACTTGTATTTATCCATGAAGCCAAAGCTGTAGGAACGTCAGAACCACTGCTCTAAATCTCAGCCCCTTGTCCTGCACACGGGGTGCAGCCCCCGTGGGGCAGCCTCAGTGCAAAGCGCGCCAGGGGCCAGGGTCTCCCTGCTCAGCTCAGCCATCCTCACTGTCCTCACGGTGACGCCCCCTGCTGCCCTCCGCCAGGGCTGCCCCCGTGCCTCACCCCACGGTCCCCGGGGTCAGGAGCCAGCTATTCAGGGATGGTTGTGGATAAACCAGTTCGTGGCCGAGATGACCCCTGGCTTGTTTCTCCGTCTGTAAAATGAAGAGGCTCTGGTTGCCCTGCAAGGCCTTCTCAGGACCTGCGATGTCGGTGGCCGGCAGGGCAGCTCCCCTCCCACCGGCAAGGACCCGAGGCATGTGTGTCTCCACACCCACCCGACCCGGTCTCCTCCCTGGCCCCTCTTTCAGAGCATTGGGGGGATTTCCTGCCCTGCCCACAACTGGTTTTGAGGGCTCTCCCATCCCATTCTCAGCAACCCCTTCCCTGCAGGCCTTCAGGGGAATCAGTACAGATTCAATGCATTTCCCCGGAACTGTACAGCCCACAACGTGCGGAGAGCTAATAGGATAAACAGATGCCCGGAAGAGCTTCCCGAGCCTCCCCGTTTGGGCACCCTGGTGCGCTCACCGTGGGAGACAGGCACAGGCACAGCCCTCTGTGGGCCGCGGCTCCCCCTGCACACGGGAGGGCAGGGCCGGGTGTTTCCAGCAGCCCCTGCCTGCTTACATGCTCCAGGGCTATTTTTTCAACTTGTTTTAGTCTGACCTCTTAGCAAAATTAATAGACATTCATGGACAACTTTTAGATAACACAGAGAAGAGATATGTTAATATCTCTTAATGCAGTGGCTTAACTTTTTTCATCATTATGTGAAATCAGGTGACAACGGAAGAGCTCTGATCAAAGGGGAGCGTGGAACCATGTCCTCTTGGTGACCCCAGCTGCCCCAGCCCCTAAGGGACCCTGGGAATTCCTAGGGTCCCTGCAGAGCTCAATTTGAAACTTGCTGCCTTAGGCTGAGTGCAATGACTAATGGTGGAACTACAAGCATTGTAAAAGCAAGGGGGGTGCTGCCTACATTTGGGGAAAGGCAGACCTCTGGCTTGCATGGGTCTTTCTTCCACGCCCACTCTCCCCCTGCCCCCTAAGAAGCTGCCGTCACTGCATCCCCAGTGGGAGGAGTGATCAGACTCCTACACAAAGCCGTGTAGTGGAAAGACCAGGGACTCCTCTGGCTCCTGGCCCTGATTCCGGACTCTGATGGGAACTTTGGGGGACTTTTGACCAAAGGAAAGCAGCTGATTATAAGTCAACACTTTGCATACATGGTACTTGCGAAGTTTGTCCGTGTGTCTAGGGAGACCTGGGGAAACCTGGGGAGTAGCGGGGGGTGGAAGAGCCGGCCGGAGACCAGCTGAGCCAAGCCCAGAGGCGCTGTTCTTGCAAACCCTTTCCATGCCATCTGCTTATCAGTCTGTCCTCCTCCTCTGACTCCCTTAGATTATTATCTCCCAGGAGTGCTTGCAGCCAGGGACCCATTAGGTAATGTAAGAAGCAGATATTAAAGGATTACTCCTGACCCAGTTAGAGACGGCTCTTGCCTGGAATGACCTTCCTGTAGAAGTGACAATGAGTCGGGCATGACCAGTGGATGGAAAATAACATTCACTTCTCACTGCCTGTGACCCTGTGAATGGAACTGTTTCTCTCACTCTCTCCCTTCTGAGGCCACTCAGGGTCAAAAGCAAGCTGACATCTGTAGCCCGTGGTTTACAATAATGCCTTAACTTATTCTAGAATCAGAAAATGACAGGAGGTCAAGCTGTCTAGTCCAATTTCCGTTCTGTACTGAATTCCTGCCAGGTGGCTTTATGTCCTTCCAGTGATGGGGAGCTCATTATTCCCTGAAATGACCGCTTCCGCCCTGGGGGCTCTGACTGTGGCACCGTGTTCCTTTCTTTGTGCCGAGCTGAAGCAGGTCTCCCTAAGCGCCAGGCAGGCTCCATCCCGACAGGGCAAGTGGGTCAGCACCCTGTGCTCTGCCGCGGCCCTGCATGGGTGCGAAGGTGCTGACCTCCTCCCTCTTGACTGTCCTTAGTCTCTGTGCATGTGTGTCCTTTGAAGTGCGGTGACTAGAAATGAACCCCAGGACCCCTACACTTCTGAGCTTGACAGTGGCATCTGTAACCGCGCTGATCCGGTGCCATCCTGCAGGGCAGTGGGGCTCTCCCTGTTTCACTGCGAGGTGATGTATTAGGCGAAGGGAGGAGGTATGCCTGGACCAAAGTCATATAGCCAGGGGGAGCCAAAGCCAGGCTCCCACCCCAGCTTCCTGGGCTGGTGGCCTCCTTTCTGCTGCCTCCAAATGGCAGGTCACCCCAAATGTTTTACACAGGCTCGAATTCCACAGTCAGCCTTAAGTTCTGGAATACACCAAGAGCTGTAATTGGAATGGGCAGGACTGCCTTCAACTGGGAGCATCAGGCAGGGCTTCCTGGAAGAGGTGGCCGCTGAGCTGAGCTGAGCAGAGCGTGCCAGGGGAAGAAGCTGGCCCAGGTACGGAGGCGGCGGGCAGGAACCAGCGGGCAGAGGCACACTGATCGGGTCTGCCCTGTCGCAGGAGAGTGCCGCTCCCTCGGCAGCCGCCGAAACCTGGGCAAAAACAGCCCCTCAGTCATCCGAGACCTCAGGTAGTCTTCGTGCCAGCGTGGGCCATGCCCGGCAGGCCGCAGGCCCTCTGTTCCGGGCAGCAGCGTCCTGGGGCGGCCCCTGCGCTCCTGGCACCCACTGAGCACTCACATTCCTAGAGGCCCGCGGGTCCTGAGTGGGGACCTTTCCACAGAGCCGGCTGCTGACCCGTCACAAAGGGCCTGGGCGAGCAGGGTGGCTCGGAACACCACATACCCCCGGACTTCCTAGACGCAGACAGAGGGACGAGTGTTCCCTCAGGGTTGGGATTTTGTTTTCTCTGTTTCTGTTTCCCCCTCAGAGGAAATTCCACTGCAGATTTTATTTTTAGCAGTTTGAAGCATGAGGCCATTTCACAGGGGCCTCTTGTGGCACCAGACGTACACCAGACTTGGCCCAGGACAGATGTCCCGGTCTTCCTCTGCCACCCCGGCCGTGTTCCCTTTTCTGTCCCCTCAAGTCCCCAGCCTTTGGGCGAGGCCATCCTTCGGTCAAGGGGAGGACTCCCTGGTGTGGAGGAAGGACCCTGGATGTGGACTCCAGGCCTCCACCTCGCTTTTGCTCCCAACTTGTATCGCCTCCTGCAAGTCACAGCCCACCCCTGAGCTTGGGCCTCTCCACCCACAGGGGAGAAGCAGAACCCCCAGCCCCGCCCTCCTCTTCATGGCACCGTAAGGCTCAATGGGGCGGTGTGCCCACAGATGCTCAGAAAGCAGCAAGCCTTCTCAAGGCCTCATAGCTATGGGACAGAAGACCCAAATTTGGTCACGTACTCAAGTGTGCAAGCCCGGTGTGACCATGAGCCAGCCAGTCACCCAGTTTTCCCATCTGTGTTAAGGTGAAGGTCATCTCGCCTAGTTTGCCTCAGAGCAGGGCTGCAGGGATCCTATGACAGCCCGCAAAAATGCTCTGGTCCTGTGTAAAATGCAAAGGCAGTTAGGAATGTTCCTCACCTGCCCGAGGAAATCCAATGGGAAAACGGTGTTTTATAGACTTAGTTATTGAAAGTTAGAGATGTGAGGATTAAATGAGGTACATGTATATGACCGCCGTTAGAGGGAGGGCAGTGCTTAATCCACAGGAATACTCCTGCTAATCCTACCACTACTAACAACGGCTAGCGTTTATTGAGTATTGCGTCAGGCAGAATGATGTTCCCCAAGCTGTCCGCGTGTTAATCCCTACGAATATTCGGCCTTCCACGGCTGTACTAGTTGAGTCGGGCTGCTATCCCAAGGTTCCACGGACTGGGGGCGCTGAACAACCAGAGCTTATTTTCTCACAAATCTGGAGGTAAGAAGTTCCAGACAGGGCTGGTTTGTTCTGAGTTCTCTCCCCTCAGCTTGTCGATGGTGACGCTGTCTTTTTCCTGTATCTTCATCTTGTGTCCCTCTACATTTGTGTCCAAAAATGTTCTTTTCTTGTAAGGACAGCAGTCATATCGATGGGGGCCCACCCTAAGGATCTCGTTTTAACTTAATTTTCCCTTTAAAGACCCTGTCTCCAAATACAGTCATGTTCTGGGTGTTAGGACTTCCACATAGGGATGGGGGAAGGACACATGACTTAGCCCATAACAGTGGCAAAGGGACTTTGCAGGTGTAATTAAATTAAGGATCCTGAGATGGGGAGATTATCCTGGATTATCTAGGCGAGTCCAGTGTAATCACAAGGGTCCTCATAAAAGGGAGACTAGGGAGAGTCAGAGAGAGATCAGAAGGTGCGCGACTGCTGGCTTTGAAGGCGGAGGGAGGGGCGGGGAGCCAAGCAGTGTAGGCGGCCTCTGGAAGCCGGAGAAAAAGAGGAAATGGTCTCCCCCCTAGAGTCCCCAGACGTAATGCCAACACTCTGATATTTAGGACTTACAGTACTGTAAGATAATAAATGTGTGTTGTTTTAAGCCATTAAGTTTGTGGCATTTTATTATAGCAGCAGTACATACCTAAGACCAGAATTTACACGTACTCTTATTTAATCCTCACAATAACTCTATAAGGGGAGGTACTATCATTATCCCCGTTTTGCAGAAGAGGGAAGTGAGACATGGAGAGGTTCATACTCTCCCAAGGCCACACGGCTAGCATGGAAGGTGACCAGAACGGGCTTTGCGCCCTAACAGGCTGACTCCAGAGCCCATCCCCTACCCCCTGGTGCCCTCTAGGGAACCAGCGACTGATCAACTGGCAGTGGAACTGTGGGCAGACTTGGTTGGCCGCCGAGGCCTCCGAAGGCCTCTCAAGTCACCCCTGCCCAACCTCTGACAGCCCCTGGAGGCTGGCCACAGCCCACCTCCGTCCGCCCATCAATACAAGCATGCCCCTGCGCAACACGACCTCTTTGGGCTCAACCGCCAAAAGAACACGTGCCCACCCCAACCTGCGTGGAGATTCTGGAATCCCACCGTGTTCACCCTTCCACCTTTTTAGCTCCCCAGTGGCTCTCACTTCCAGCTTAGAACTGCAGGAGATTCCAATCATGGACTTAGAGGGAGGTTTAGGGCCTGAGAGGTTCCCCGCTAAGTCCGTTCACCAGGAAGTAGGTCCACATGAGCATCGGTCCCTCCGTTGTTCCCACAGGTCAGGACGCTACCTGCCGGGAGAGGCTGTATCCCTGCACCCTTGCCAAAGCCAGCACAGCCTCTCTGCCAAGGCTGCCCTCTGCCCCTGCCGCCAGCAAAACATCTGCTTTCTATTCTTTGTTAGGAACATCTTGTGCTTGAACTCTGGGGTAGTGGGGCGAGGGGGGGGTGGCCTTTTGCTGGGCTGCATTTTGTGCCCTAAGCCAACCATACTCAAGCCCAGGCGCTCGTTTATTTTACTTTTAAAGAATAATAACTAATGTAGCTTTGTACTTGCTCAGCCCAAAAGACCTCCGACATCCCCTTTTATTCATCCAAAAATCTCCATTTTGCCCCCATTAGATTATTCTTTTTTAAAAAAGAGTCTCTTTGAAAATCAAGATATCAATGCGCAATAAAATTTACTCATTTTACATGTACAGTTTGATGAGCGCCAGTAAACTTATGCAGTTGTGTGACCGCTACAGTCAAGATGGTGAATGCTGCTTTTCTACCCCAGAAAAAACTTCCTTGTGCCCCTGGTTAGTCTGCCTCCCCCAGCTGCAGCCCCCGGCTGCCACGGGTATGCTTTCTGTCACTATAGTTTCGCCTTTTCTAGAATCATAATAATGGAATCATAGTATGTTTTTGAGGGTCCTCCTTATTAGTGCTCAAAGTCCTTTAGTCCCTCTGACTGCTGAGTCGTGTGCAAGGAAAAAACGCCACTATCCATTCGCCAGATGATGGATATTTGGATTGCTTCCAATTTGGAGCTATAATGAATACAGCTGCCACGAACATTCACATACACACATAAACATATGTTTCAGTTTCTCTTGGGTAAATTCCTAGGAGTAGAATGTGGCTTGTATGATAACTTTATAAGCATGGTTTATGAGTAAGTTGCTTTGTAAATATGATTTAACTTTATGAGATACTTCCATAGATTTTTTTTCCAAAGTGGCTGCACCGTTTTTGCATTCCCACTAGCAACATTCGTATGTTCCAGTTCCTCCACATCCTCACCAAAGCCTGGTGTTGGTGTTCTGTTTTAATCTTAACCATCTAGTGAGTGGGTAATGGTATTTCACTGTGGTATTTCATTTGCATTTGCATTTCTCTATTGACTAGTGATGTTGAGCATCTTTTCATAAGCTTGTCATTGATACAACATATCTCCTTTTGTGAAGCATCTGTTCAGTATTTAACTTACATTTTATGAGGTTGTTTGTCTTCTTATTACTAAATTTTAAGAGTTCTTTACATATTCTGGATACAAGCCCTTTCCAGATAGATGTTTTGGGAAAACACTTTTCTCCCAGTTCCCCATGGGCTTTCTCTTGGAAAGAGACGCAGTTGACTCTTGAGGCATGGGGGAGTTAGGGGCACCAGCCCCATCCCCCAACAGAAAGTCTGTGTATAACTTTTGACTGCCCCAAAGCTTAACCTCTATAGTTGTCCCTCAGTATCCATAGGACATTGGTTCTAGAACCCCCCCACAGATACCCAAATCCACAATGTTCAAGTCCCCCATATAAAACTGCACAGATCAAAAGCAGTACAGGTATTTTTGAAAAAAATCCAGTATCAGGGGGCCCAGGCAGTTCAGACCCACACTGCCCAGGGGCCAGCTGTAGCGATATGGTGTGGGAGGAGCCTGTGTCTGTGCCGCTTCTTCGCTGTGCTCCTTGGGCAAGTCCCTTCCCCTCCGTAAGCCTCAGTTTCCTCATCTGTAAAGTGGGAAGAAACGACTTACCCTGCCTTCCCCACAGCGCTGTCAGGGGCCCTAGGAAGAACAGTGGCCGCGAAAGCATTTTGTAAACTCCTTGGACCTATAAATAGGTTAACAGTATGGCGAGCAGCTGTGGAGTGCTGAGACCCCTCTGTGGCCCTGCCCTCGGGCTGTGCCCTACCCGGAAGGGAGCAGTGCGGGGCAGGTGCTCCTCGGTCAAGGTGGATTGCCAAGGAGCGATGCAGACGGCAACTGTGAGGGGCATCCCATTGGTTCAGGAGCGGGGAGGGGTCACTCACGCAGCCCACACGCTCCAAGTACCAGGCGCGGCCCTCAGCACTAGGAGCACAGCCTCACGGAGCTCCCAGAGCCCTGGGAGCAGCCCTAGAGTGCATGGGGGTCCCCGGCCTGTGTGGCTCCTGTCCTGAAAGGGGTGCCCCGCTGCCCTGGATCACGGCAGGGGCCCTGAGCCTGTTTTGAAGGAGGGTCACTGAAGGGGTCAGCCAGGCAGGACAAACAGCATGTGCAAAGTCCTGTGGCCCAGCCCGGCATGCGCCCTGTTGGATGCTGATGCTTTGCAGAGAGCCCCACTGGTCCCACTGGGATTCCCGTTGAGTGACACGTTGTTGTTTCCAGGATCACCCTGAGGTGGCTGCAGATGGAGTTACGTGTCCCTTTGCAGGTGTTGGCTGCTCCTTCAAGGTAAGCTCCTGAGTGTGAGAAAGGACATCTGTCCACTACAGGCCGAGGCCACGGGGTCTCCCCACTTCAGCCCAGATTTTCCCACACCACCAAGGTACTCCTCTGGATGACCCTTACTTTGGTGGCCGCAAGCAACAAACCTCACTAGTAAATCATTCCCGTACTCAAGAGAGCTCTTGTGCCTCATCTCAGTTGTAGCATCGCTAAAATGACCCCCCAGGGCTCCCCAGGCCTCTCTCCATGGTCCTGAATCACCACTGGCCTCAAAGATGGGGCAGAATTGGGGCTCTAGAGGCTGGGAGGCCCAGGGCTCACCATGGGCATGTTCGATGCCAGAGTCTTCTGTGTCCTTCTCACTGCAAACAGACCCACTTCCCCTTTGCTGCGTGAATGCATCTGACTTTCTTTGGGAACCTTGTTCGCTGTCATTGATCAGACCCACTCTCTTGGCAGGGGAGTGCAAAGTTCATGCAGGAGCATGAGGTCACCTCTCAGGCCACCCACCTAAACCTGCTGCTGAGGTTCCTGAAACAGTGGAAGGCCCAGCAGGGCTCAGGCCTGGGCTCAGGGCCCATGGCTCTAGAGCGGAATCTGTCGGACCTGCAGCTGCAGGCTGCTGCAGAGGTGGCCGGGGACCTGGAGGTGGACTGCTACCGGGCCCCCTGCTCTGAGAGCCAGGAGGAGCTGGCCCTGCAGCACTCCATGAAGGAGAAGGTGCTGGCCGACCTGGAGGGGAAGCTGCGCGTGTTCGAGAACATCGTTGCCGTCCTCAACAAGGAGGTGGAGGCCTCCCACCTGGCCCTGGAGGCCTCCATCCACCAGAGCCAGCTGGACCGCGAGCACATCTTGAGCTTGGAACAGCGGGTGAGCGCAGGCAGCAAGGCTGCCTTCGAGGCTGACCCAGGGGGCCCTCAGCTCCATCTTATCTCCAGACCAGTGCTTTGGCCTCTCTCCTAAGCTTTGTCCCTGCCCACAGCAGTCACACCCCATCAAAAGGTATCTGTCCTGTGTCCCAACACCTCCTAGGGGCTTGAATTCCTCCCATGGTAGGACTCTCTGTTCCCAAGCTACTCATCCCGTTGCTGGACATTTTCCACCATTAGGAAGTTCTTCCTTACCCCAAACTCAATCAGCCTTTCTGTGTCTTCCCTGCATCGTTTCTGGCCCTGCCCCTCGGGGCCCCCAAAACAAACCTGCCATCTAGACCCTATGGAAGCCCTTCAGAGATGAGCAAACAGTGATTTATCCCATCTGAGTATTTCCTTCTTTAGGCTAAACGCCCCCAGTGCCTTCACCCCCCTCATCATAGCACGTTGTTCTCATAGGCGCTGGCTCCGCCTCTAAAGGATTCCACACATTCAGAATGGTGGTCCCAGACCAACTCCAGACAATCCACTTCTCCAATAGTTCTTGGTCGAGCAGGACTGTCATCCCCTCCTTTGTTCCAGGGCTTATACTTTTCTTAATATAACCAGTCACCATGTTATGTTGCTTCCTTTTCTTTTCTTTTCTCTTTTCTTTTCTTTTCTTTTCCTTTTCTTTTCTTTTCTTTTCTTTTCTTTTCTTTTCTTTTCTTGCAACATTACATCGCTATCTCATGTTGACTTAGGCCTAGCTTTTAATTCCAGCTCTACCGTTGGCTTGCACGGTAGGCAGGAGCACGTTGCTTTCCCTCTCAGGACTGCAGCTCTCTCATCAGTAAAATTAGCGTTTCGATTTCTTGAAGAACACTCACTCCCACACCTGCTATGTGAGCAGACCCAAGAAGAACTTTGTATTCTCTCAAGTGTCTGTGGGGAAGTCTACCAGGAGAGCCAGGCGTTGTGTTTGAGTGGTGGAGTAAAGCCTGCATTTATGTAACTCTTGCCCCAGGTAGAAGGTGGGCTTCTTGAAGGCAGCAGCCATGTCTTCAGTTCATCAAAAACTCCCTGGCTCAACCCGTACATGCCAGGCTCTGTGCAAGGCAGGCACACAGAGAAGAAATGAGCACAGGCCCAGCCCTTGGTGGGGGAGACATCTGTCTGGTAGGATAAGCAGAAGAATAAATCTCATAAAACTGCTGTAAGGACTTTGTAAGAACATAGATGAGAGAGAGAGAGAGAGAGCGGCTGAGCTAGGGCAGTGGCTGAACACTTCCCAGGGGAAGGGCCGTGGGAGCCAGATTTCTTGTGGGTGAGTGGGCGTTGGCCAGGGGATCGGGAAGGCAGCGGAGTTCCAGGCAGGAGGTACAGCGCATGCAAAGGCAGACGCATGCACCTGAGGGAGGCACAGTCAGGAAGGCATGTTCTTGGTGGGTCTGTCTCCAGAGCATGCCGTCCCCAAGCCAGGCCTGGCGCCCCTGGCTCAATGGCTTCCCTACAGGTGGTGGAGCTGCAGCAGACGCTGGCCCAGAAAGACCAGGCCTTGGACAAGCTGGAGCAGAGCCTGCACCTCATGGAGGAGGCCTCCTTCGACGGCACCTTCCTGTGGAAGATCACCAACGTCACCAGGCGGTGCCATGAGTCAGCCTGCGGCAGGACCGTCAGCCTCTTCTCCCCAGGTAACGCCTCCCCAGAGCACAGAGACCCATGGGGCCCAGGAGACAACATGGGGAACAGCCAGCTCTGTGACTCCATGCCATGTCCAGTCAGGCCAGTGTCTGTTCAGGCCACCGACCGTGCTGGGACCGCAGAGGAGGTAGGTGCCCAGCTCAGCCCCGTAGAACTTGGGCTGTTTGAGCTGCTGCGCCTTCCACCTCCCCCTGTGTCAGTCACGTTCTGCAGAGAGACATAAAATTGTCATTGGCTTGGTGTGGAAGTCGGATATGAAAGACTGTGCTGTGACCCAGAGCTTGTGCAAATGCCGGATGGGGAGGCTGGTTCTCGCGGGCGGACACTAGGGGACCCTTGCCCTCAGGGGGCCAATGGCCTGACTAAGACAAGCGGAGAACTGAGTGGACGATTATGGTGGCGCACTAGGAAGTATTGTGTAAATTGGGGCAGTTCTTACTCATTTCTGGGGCCCCAGGGCATAGCACAATGTTTTGCATAAAGTCATTACTCAGTAGATTTTTTCCCTTAATTAATTGACTTATTTTTATAAAACAATGTGCATATTTGTGTGTGAAATGCTCAGACCTCTGTGTGCTTCCCCGCTCCTCACCCATGTGTGTCTAAGTAAACGGGGGTCATCAGGAGAGAGTTCTGCAGAGGACGATTTGAACCGCCTCTCTCTTGCCTTTGCGCCAGCTTCATGCCTTTCCTGTCCATCAGCTCCTCTGAGGCACCCAGAACCAACAGGGTGGGATGAAAAGGGGCGTCGGAGTCTGCTCTGCACCCCAGAGTGGGGCTTGGTCCCAAAGCCAGGCACCCGTCCTCAGGAGCAAGGGCGGCCCCCTTCCGGGGCGGACTCACCTCCAACACACAGGCGTTTCCTCCTCCCTTCTTCCCAAAGAGAGACAAAGTGAGCAGTGTCTCTGGCTTCCTGTTCTACCAAAACCTAAGGGGCAGGGTGAGTCAGAATGTCAGTCCGTCCCTCCTCTGCCCCTTCCTGCCTGTCCCCCACACCCTGTCCCCAATCGCCCCCTCCCAGAGGGGCCCTTGTGGTGGCAGCCTCTGGCACCTCTACTGTGCGGCGCTTTCAGCTGCTGAGGGAGAGAGCCCAGGGGCCCCCGTGTTTCATCACCAAGGGTGAATCACCCCTCAGGGGCCTTTGCCAAGGGTGCCTGGCAGAAGTGGGAGCCGCCCACTCTTCCCCAGCCTCTGGGAGTCCCCAACCACTAGGCCTAGGGCAGCAGAAGGAAGTCAGTGTTGAGAGAGGAGGCCTGGCCCCTGCTCCTGGCTCTGGCCCCAGCACCCGTGGGGCTGGGCACTCCCACTGTGGGGCCCGGTCTCCTGACTGCAGAATACAGGGTGGTTAGATCAAAAGTGTGGTCCCTGGGCCAGCAGCATCGCTGTCTTCTATAGGACATGCCAAGTCCCAGTCCTCTGCTGGATCCGAAACTCCGGGGCTGAGGCCTGGCTATCTGTGATTCTGATGGCCAGTTGACAGCCACACAGATGAGCTCCAAGATCTGGGTCCTTGGGACAGCATAGGATCCAGAAGAATGCTGGGCTCCAACCCCAGATTTCTAAGTTTTGAGCCACTGACCTTGGGCGTGTCTAACCTTTAGTCCCAGTTTCCTCATCCGCAAAGCTAGCACTCTCCAGCTGCCCCTGGGCTGACTCTGGCTTGCGCATTTCAGCTTTCTACACTGCCAAGTATGGCTACAAGTTGTGCCTGAGGCTCTACTTGAATGGGGACGGGACGGGAAAGAGGACCCACCTGTCACTGTTCATCGTGATCATGAAAGGGGAGTATGATGCTCTGCTGCCGTGGCCTTTCCGGAACAAGGTAGGGGCCGAGCGGAACAATGCGGGTGGGGTGGGGGAAGCCTGGATCTTGCCCCTGGTTCAGCCATCAACTGGTCAGGTGACCTGGACCAGCCTCTTGCCCTCTCTGTGTTCTTAGGTTCTCCTTTTATAAAACAGGAGCCTGAGTTCATATCTAGTAGCCAAGTCCAGGGGCAAAAATGCTGGGACCAACATCCCTAGGAGTCAGGTAGAAACTCACTTGGTGGGATGAATAAGGAAAACTTCCTGGAGGAGGTGCTGTGGGGCCACCCTGAACAAGCAGCATTTTCAGAAAAAGGGGAGGAGGTAGATGCTACTACACACCTCTTAGCATGGCCAAAACCCCAAACACGGGCAACACCAAATGCTGACGAGGATGTGGAGCAACAGGATGTCTCATTCATTGCTGGTGGGAATGCAAATGGCATGGCCACTTTGCAAGAGAGTTTCTTACTTTGGCAGTTTCTTACAAAACTAAATGTACTCTTGCCATATCCAGAAACCACACTCCTCGGTATTCACCAAATGAGCTGAAAACTTCAGTCCACACAAAAACCTCCACATGGGTATTTATAGCAGTTTTATCCATAATTGCCAAACTTGGAAGTTGCCAAGATGTCCTTCAGTAGGTGAATGGATAAACAAACCTTGGTATGTGCAGAAAACTGAACACTATTCAGCACCAAAAAGAAATGCTGTGGAGGAACCTTAAATGAATATTGCAAAGTGGCAGAAGCCAATCTGAAAAGGCCACATACTATATGATTCTAGCTACATGACTTTCTGGAAAAGGCAAAACTGTGGAGACAGTAAAAAGATCCGTGGTTGCCAGGGGCCGAGGGGAGAGAGGGATGAATAGATAGAGCACAGAGGATTTTCAGGGCAGTGGAACTATTCTGTATGGTATCAGAATGATGAATATACGTCATTGCACCTTTGTCCAAACCCAGGAGTGAACCCTGAGGTGAATGTGTCAGTATCTATCGATTGTAGAGCATGTCCCGCTGGGGTACAGGGTCTTGACAGTCTGGCAGATGGTGTGGAAGCAGAAGGTATATGGGAAATCTCTATATTTTCCATTCAATTTTGCTGTCTACTTAAAACTGATCTAAAAATAAAGCCTGTTAAAACTGTTTAAAAGGGCAGAAGTGCCACTGTGGTCTGGATATGAGCCAGTAGGTCAGTGGCCCGCACACCTGCCAGCGGGACTTAAAAGGTACCAATGACTGGTCTCTCACTACAGTCAATGGGGAGGCCTGAGCATCAGGATTTTAAAAACCTTCCCAGGGGATTCTAAGTGCAGCCAAGTCTGAGAACCGCTGTGATAGGCGATGGGAAGACATTTTATGTCCCGATGGGTGTTCCAGTGACACATACCAGGGTTTGTGTCACTGAGATCATCAGCCTCTTGAGGGCACACATATCTGCTCTGTGTGGACTGAAACTCCGTTTATGTTGCCGGACATCGGCAGGCAGCCCCTCAGCAGAGGGCCTGTCCGTTTGTGCCCCCTGCCTCACCCAGGAGGGTCCAGCATAGTTCACTGTCTGACATCTCTGAGCAGGAAGGGGTATTACCAGTTAGGAGTCCGGGCTCCTTGTCAGCGCTCAGTCCCACCTATAACCCCCAACAGCCAATCAAAATTGAGGCATTCACATCCCCTTTTCCTGTTGGATAGACCCTCAGAGCCCTAATTATAGGACAACCCCCAAAGCCCACTCAGGATACCAGGTGCTTCCATCTCTGGGGGCTCTCTCTGCTCCAGGCGTGGTCCTTACATTGTTTCTTTGGCTCCTAACCAGCCTGAGCTCAGGGTCAGAGGGGCTACACAGGTGGCAGACAGAGGGCAGCTCCGCGCCCCCCGGTGCGCCGCCCAGACCTGACCTCCCACCTGCCCTGGCCCGCAGATCACCTTCATGCTCCTGGACCAGAACAACCGTGAGCACGCCATTGACGCCTTCCGGCCCGACCTGACCTCCGTGTCCTTCCAGCGGCCCCAGAGCGAAACCAACGTGGCCAGCGGCTGCCCGCTCTTCTTCCCTCTCAGCAGGCTCCAGTCGCCCAAGCACGCCTACGTGAAGGACGACACCATGTTCCTCAAGTGCATCGTGGAGACGAGTACTTAGGGCAGGCGGGGACAAGTGCCCGCACCTGCGTGCGGAGGAAGCGCCAGCCCAGACTGGAGGAGGTCCTGCCCTTGGTGCCCACGGTCCCAAGACACAGCGATAGCCTGGGGCCGGGTTGGTCTGAGCAGGGCGGACAGACTGCCTGTGGCAGCCATCCGCTTAAGGGGGTGGCAGGACCCCACAAAGGCAGAGGGTCCAGAAGGAGGTGGTGGCAGAATTGTCCCTCTTGCACTGTCCGTGCAACACCAGAGTCCTGGCAGCCGCGCCAGCCCTGAACGCTGAGGGGGACTCTGACCAAGGTGGGGAAGGCAGGGGGATCACACCTGTGGTGGGGACAGCGATCTGGAGGTGCGGGGCTGAGCATGGGCAGGTTCCCACAGGGCCGCCGTGGAGAACTGGAAACCTGCTTGCTGTGCGCCTGCCCAGGGTCAGAACTGAGGGGTGGAAGGGACAGGCTGCCAATGGGAATTCCATCTGTCCAGGCGTGCACTGACTTCCCCGTCACCGCAGGTGAACAAGCAAAGGCAGAGGGCTGCCCTGGAATGGGGGCAGGCACCAAACTGGGAGTTGGATCGTACAACCTTCAAGATTCCTTCCAGCCCAGAAAGTCTCTAATTCTAGGCCTCCTGGCCCAGGTGAGGCCTACAGCTTAAGGAGTTCTGGAAACATTCAGGAACCTCCTGTCCTCACTCACCTTCAGTACCAGCAGGTGGGCTGAGCCGCTGGCACAGCGCCCGCCACCCAGGCCTAGCAGCTCAGCTTCCCAACACGCAGAGGCGCTCACAAGCCCTGCATCCTGTGCCTGCACCCACCAAACTCCCCTTCACCACGCCCCCTGCAGACCAAACAAGTTTGCTGAGCTTCCAGGAGCTGCCAAAGGAGCGAGGCATAACCTCTCTGCTCCCTGCCTGGGGTGCCCACCTTCCACGCTTTCCTGAATCCCATTCACCTGATTAACCAAGGTTTTCACTTTTCTCATTGACTGATCAGGGTCTCTGAGCCGCGAGCAGCAGTTGTCCTTTATAAATATGTATAAAACCAAAGAAAGAATTTTTTAAAAACCTCTTTTGAAGTTTTCACGATGTGTACAGTCATGGAAGTGGGTTGAAACTGAGCCAAGCTTGGAAAGGCCATCACTGCGTCTTGGTGGCGGCGCTGTGGGTTTTGCAGGTAACGTCCAAGGGTTACACCCTCCCCGCCTCCGTCCTGCCCTCTCTAACAGGGAGAGCCACCCAGCCTGCCTCCCTCGCTGGGATCTGTGGACCTCACAGAGACGCTCACAGGAGAGGCCAGAGGGAGAGAGGCCCAGGCACCACGGCCCGCCTGGCATGCATGGCTGTGGTCCATGCGTGTCCTCTCACCTTGGAGGCCTCACACAGCCAAGTCCTACGGGGACCCTGAGGCTCACGCTACCCCTCAGAGTTCCAGGTGAGGCTTTCAATCCTCACACCCACAGGGTTGGCTCTGTGCAATGGGCCAGCCCCGCTGTTCCCCATCCTGGTGAGGAGGGTCCCCACAAAAGAGGGGAGGGAGCAGCACAGCTCAGTGGGCTCCTGGATCCAACCCTCGTCCAAACCTGGTCTCCGGTCCTGCCTCAGCCTCTTCATTTGACAACAGGGACACAGCCTGCCTGGCCCTGTCCAGCTCCCAGGGTTTCCTCGAAGCCCAAATACAGTAATGGCGCTCTAGGGCTTTGTTAGTGGGTGGCATTTTGCCATGTGTGAAGGGCTGCGAACATGTCAGGGCTCCTTTTTCTTACCCCCCCAGCTGGCAGCCTGTCAGGGACAGAGACTGGAAACCAACTTGCTTCCCTTGCTGGGTGTGAAGAACAAGGGAAGGGCTGGTCTCACAGGTTATGGGGACTTCTGCCTCCGAGCTGGTGTTCTGGAAATAACGCCTTCAGCCCTACTCCCTGAGCACCGAGCCCGCGAGGGATTGTAGGGCAAGTTACTACGAGGGTCAAGTATGGCTCTTCACCTTTCATGGCTTATTTCTGGTGGGATGAGACACAGGCTCCCTTCAGGGTAGGCGGCAGCCATCCTTTCAGTAAAGCTTTTTTGAGACCTACTGCACCAGACCCCAGGAAGGGAAAGTTAAGATGTGCATCCCACCCTTAAGAAACTCAAGTTCATTGTGCGAAGGCAATGCCTAAGTAAATCATTGAAACGAGGACATAAGCCCAGAGAAAGCACAGGGTTCCAAATCTTTTGAGTGAAGCAGGGAGGGCTTCCTGGAAGAGGTGTTATTTAAACTCAGCCTTAAAACATTTTGAGATGCAGAAGACAGGGTGTGGGGGACAGTGAAGACTCAGGTGAAGAGTGGTCTTGGCTTCGTGTAGGGTCTGTGAGGTGGAGCCTGTGTGTAGCCCGTTGGGCTGTTAACAGCAGGGTGAGACGCTGCCTTAAAGCACCCGCTAACCTCCAGCACAGCCCCGTGTTAGGTGCGCCAAACACATCTCACCTAGTTAGAAGTAAGAAATGGAAACAATACTAACAGATAAAACATACTTCTAATACATAAACTATGTACCTTGTTGAGATGCTACAAGTATTAAGTAAGACATTTGATATAAATCCCAATATCAGAGTCCTTAAGAAGTAGCAGAGTCTCCCACCACCTGAGGGCTTCACCTCTTAACTGCATTGCCTACGTACAGGTCAGCGTTAAATGATGCTCATAACAGACTTCCCTATCGGGCCCCGCATTGTAATTGGAGGGCTCTGGGGTTTTGCCCAAAGAGCCTGTGGGTCAAGCAGTCGTGCCATTATAGCTGTTACAGAAACACAGCATTAAAATCACAGGTTCATCTTCAAGGCAATCATTCTCCCTGAAATTTGAAAGTCAGAAACCTCTGACAATTTTATTTGTCAGTTATGCATCCATGAAGCTGAAAAAAAGCTGGCTGGAGGTCTGCATGCTTTGTTTTCTTCGGGAGTCAGTTCCTTACATTATGGGTCTCAGGAACTCTGGGACCCAAGTGGGGAAACGAGGACACCCTGAGGTGCCCAGCCAGATTACTGCTTCTGCAGGGCCCCGCCCCCCGGGGCTTGGATGGAAAGGGCACTGGAGCCGGGGTCCTTTCACCCGGTTGCAGACCCTGACCTGCTCTCCCGTTGCTGTGTGACCTTGGGCAAGTCCCATTACCAGCTCTGAGCCCAACTGCCCTCACAGGCAAAGCTGACTGGCCACGCCCCTGACCAGCCGGGTTCTGATGGCCATTACAGCGTAAGGTCCTGACTCGCGAAGCTCCCCAGGAATGCTCCCTGAAGCTGATGCTCTGGTGGGTTTTGTGCTGGGTTTATTGAAGGGGGAGTATCCCTGAAGCCATCTGCCAGTAAATCGTTTATTAGGTATTCACTCAGCAAATCCTCCCGACACCACTGTGCTGGTCTTGCCGACCAGGGGTCAACAGCGCCGTGCACAGGGTAGCAGGGGACACAGGCAATAATTGAACACATATGAATGTGCCTTTCCACAGTGCGGGCGGCCAAGGGCCTAAAAAAGGAGCAGCTGGTTGCCAGGGCGATCCCCTGGGGCGAGGCCCAGGCCACCCAGCACCCCGAAGCCCACAGAATGCAGGACTGGCACTTGCCTTCCCAGCCCCATGTCTCTCCCCCAGGTGCCTTCTTCTGGAATGTGCCCTCCCCAGGCAGCTGGGCCTCCAAGTCATAAGAGGGCCTTTCCCCTGCCACTTTCCCACCAGAGCAAGGCCAAGGCCAGAGAGGGGAGGAAGCATCATCAGAGGATGCCCTTACCCTACCTTGTGGTGGGAGGGCGGGGCGGAGGCTGGGAACGGGGGAAGCTGACCTTCGGCAGCCTCTCCTCCGACATCCTCCCCAGGGACTGGGGGGCGTCTTGGAGAGTAGGGGCCTGGTGGCTCCAGGGGCCGCGGGAATCACAAGGACCCTGTTGATTTGTCCTAGAAAAAGTAATAGAAACGTTTAAAATAAAAATTCTAAGCTTGGAATTCTTAAGAGTCTTGGCAACTCTAAGGTTGGCCGCAACCAACCTTTCTAATCAAATTTCCCTTAACTCTGTCTTACTTCTCACCCTTGTCTCGGGGGCCACAACTGGTTCCCTGGGGATCACAGACAAGTATCAGCTCACAGCTGACCCACAAAAGTTGGTTCCATGGTGACAGGTGAGGGGATTACTGAGCACCAACCGTGTATGAGGTTTTCTCTGCAGAAGCCGTAGCCGCATCCCTGTTCACAGAAGAGGTGGCTGAGGCTCAGAACTACTCCAGGGGCCTGCAAACTGGCCACGCATCCCTCCGTAGGCCCCCGGGGGCTCACTAAACCATTGAGTGCCACCCCACTCCACCCCCAATATTTTGACTCAGTAGTTCTGGGGTGGGACCCAGAATTTGCGCTCATCACATTCCCAGTTGATGCTGATGCTCTTGGTCGGGGACCATACTTTGGGAGCCTCTGCCCTGCACCATGTGCCCCTCTGAATACATTGTCTGCCCTGAGGCAGACAGTAAATTCAGCATAGCCCACATCCCATAGCAAGGATGCATGACGACTAGCCTTCCCAGTGCAGGTACTAGAGGGATGCGTTTCTGACTGTCACACTGGCGTCCCATCCGCAGAGGGCTGCCCCCAGACACTACATTCAGGTCTCTCTGAGTGCTCCTCCCGAACGCCGCCACGGGACACCAGCTTCCTGGAGCGTGGGTGCGTCCCTCAGTGAGACTGGGGACCGTTCAGGAGGAGTTTGCTCCCTTCACTGATCCCCAGAGGAGGGACCAGGCAGGGCTAGGGAAGGCGCTGGAAAGCTCGGAGAACACTGGCAGAGGCTTCCAGATGGGGCTGTACAGGGTTAGGGCGGGAGAGCTGGGGGATGAGAGGGGTGGGGGAGCAGGGCGGGGCCTCCAGCCCCTGCGCAGGCTGCAGCCGTGGCCTTGGACAAGGACCACCCCGCAGTCAGCACTGCAGCCACTGGTGACCCGGGCGTGGTAAGCAGACCCGAGGCTGAGAGCTGAGCAATGCATGTCTGTCTTATTTCCCCAGTGGGTGCTTGTGGCTTCTTTGTCAGACTCCAGCCGGCTTGAGCAGAGCAGAAGCACCCTCGTTCACGCTGCACACTTGTTGATAATTAGGCTGTTAAATAGTGACATCATATATGAGGGTGTTTTTATTAACAACCACAGCTGTCATTTAGTGAGTGCCTATTATGTACCAGGCACTTAACCTCCATAATCTCATTCAGTCCT